CACACACACACACACACACACACACACACACACACACACACACACACACACACACTAACGGTTCTTTTATACCTAGTATAACCTTTTCGACCTTCAACCTTCGACCCTGTGCTCATTCATATATTTTTTCCGCCATTCCCTATTCCACAACACCACTACACTAAACCCAAGCTCGAACGTTTCAGACTGAGCGGTCTAATCTAAGCTACACACACTCTCTCTCTCTCTCTCTCTCTCTCTCTCACACACACACACACACACACACACACACACACACACACACACACACACACACACACACAGTCGATTAGGATTCCCTTTGCCCTGCTGCTGCTCCACTGAATCATTTCCCGCTACTACACGCTCGCTATCCGCTGTCCGCTGCTCCAATCTCTGTCCGCTGCTCCGTATTCTCTCCTCCGCCGATATGATTGTTCCAAGGGCCAGGTGGGATAAACCCTACTGCGCTGCCCTCCCTGGACTGTGCTTCCTTTTCTTCTGAAAGCTTCCATAGGAAGTACGCTGACTCCAGCGTTTTTCAGTTAAGGTGCCATATCTCTGCCCGTTCTGCACCGCGCCTTGACTGCTGCCTTAACAGGTGAAGGACTACGGTCCATCCTGCAGGGTGTGTATACCATCCTTACAGGACTGCACAGCTTGCCAGCCATGACTAACTCCATCGGAAGGACGCTGCGCCTGACAGCGTGCTTCGGTTCGGAATGTTCGAAAGGTTGTGTAAACAGGCGCCATCACTTTCTCGCTTCGTTCCGCGCCTTGAAAGCTGCCATCTGTCTCTGGTTGTGCTCCGCAGCTCCTCTGCCCATGCTATTTGTCTCCCCTCCTTAGAGGGCCCACTCACTCCCTCCTCAACACCCTGGACAAGCTCATGTCTATTTTGCTCGAGCTCTCCTGTGGAGCCTGACAGCTGCAAGACCCCCCCCTCCCCCGTGCTGTGCCCCCGGGGCATGGTGGCTAAGCTCCGCGCGGCTATGCGCGCCGCGCACACGCCGCACGGTTATGGAAGAAACCCTAATTCTATGCCCCCGCTTCGTCCCCGACCTGTCCTTGATAATCACATTTTGACATGTTCTTGAATGTTCTTTTTCTTTTTCTTTTTTTCCTTTTTTTTTTTTTCTTTTTTTTTTTTCTTTTTTTTTTTCTGTTTTTTTTTCTTTTTGCACATCACACCACCCCGCACGACACCACACCACGCCAGCAGACAGCACCACGCCATGCCACACCCCACCCCACAGCAGACCGCACCACACCACACCACACCACACCACACCACACCACAACACACCATACCATGCGACACGTGCTCAATCTATTCTCTGGGGTTGTCGCTCCGGTTGCTTATCACCGGCAAGCATGGAAAGTTTGGACATGAAAAGACAGGAGGAGACCAGAAAAAGACAGCGTAGGGACCACACCCTGGGCAATGGCTGCAATCAAGGCGGAGGGCTGCCCTGCCCATGACACAGCCAATTCATTTTGCCGAATTATCCTTTGACCCGTTCTCCAAACGCTGGTCCGTCTCAAAGAAAAGCTAAAAAAAGTAAGGAAAAAAACAAGGGAAAAAAAAAGCAAGGGAAAAAAAAGGCTGTAGTCTGTCCAAGTAGGTATCTCCAATGTGATGCGGAACTTCCGTTCAACTGTTAAAACTTGAAACTTGAAAATGCAATTCTTCCTACGGTCTCTTTTGTAAAAATGGAAGTCGAACCCAATTATCTCAAAAGAGTCAAAACCAAAAATCAGGGTGAGGGGATGCTGAGGGAGGGACGCTTGTGTCAGGCATGGCGTGGAAAGCAATGAACCTGTGAACCCTAAACTCTTAAACCCTAACCCCTAAACCCCTAACCCTGTGACCCTAACCCTAACCCCCTAAACCCTCAACCCCCAAATCCTAAACCCTATTTATCATTCGTTCTTTTATGCTAATCCATTTTTTTTTCTAATGGGCTGTTTTCATGGGGTTTGAAAATTTCGGAGCATGGTTATTGCGACTGAAACGGCGTTATGATGGATACTAAGTTGATGAATCTAATTTTTTGCCCCTGAAGGAAGTAAGTGGGTACCCGCCAGGCTGGTAGATTAAAAGTGCATCCTGCTTGTATAGGTCCTGTTATTTCGCAGGCTGGGGCTTGTACTGGTGGTTTAAACCTACTCACCCACCCCTGATTGAGACTTTGGGGCCTTTCCCTACTGAAGCGAGGTGTGGCAACCGGTTACAGCCACCCATGCTAAACCCCCGGTTACGTGCCTTTTCAGACTGTGACAGACCTTTGCGTCGTGTCCATTAGATTGGTTCTGATGGGGTGTGAACGTGCAGTCTGTAGAGTTTTCCATCTGGTGTGGGTGAGTCACAGTCTGCTTTGATTTTCGGCACAGGTACCTTGAGGGCAGCGATTGGTGGTCCCCACCAGTTGTCGGGCAGTTGTTGATGCTCAACGACAACCGGGGTGAAGGTGTCAGTTGTCGTCCCACTGCACATCACTCTGCATCTACTTGGACGCTTTCTCGAAAAGGTTCATTCAAACCGTAGTCCAACATTTTGAATTTATAGAGTCCACGGAGCATCCAAATGCATGCAGAGCGTTGTGCAGCGGAGAGAGGCCAATGCTGTGGGGTCATGATTGCAGGGTCACACATTGGAACTGTTTTTTCTTTTTTTTTGTGTGGTCCCCACCAGCCTTACCCCCGAACCTCCCCCATGCGGATCACTGTAGATTTTGCCACAGGATTCATTCCGAGAAAAAATCTACAGTGAGTCAGTGACAGGGCATTTGGACTGGTGGGTTAGACCGCAAGTACACGGCCCCAGCCTTGCAGAAAGTTTTTGTTGCCACAAGCAAAGCTCGGAGGGGCCGCGCGGCGTGGGGCGCCGTTGAAAAAAAAAATCGGTGGCCTCCGAAGTGGTGCGGGTTTCGTGCTGACACCCGCGGGCTGATGTGCACAAGCAAAGCTCGGAGGGGCCGCGCGGCGTGGGGCGCCTTTGAAAAAAAAGATCAGCGGTCTTCGAAGTGGTGCAGGTTCCGTGCTGACACCCGCGGGTGGGACGCTGTTGAAAAAAAAAATCAGCGGCCTTTGAAGTGGTGCGGGTTTTGTGCTGACACCCGCGGGCCGATGTGCACAAGCAAAACTCGGAGGGGCTGCGCGGTGTGGGGTGCCGTTGAAAAAAAAATCGGCGTCCTCCGAAGTGGTGCAGGTTTTGTGCTGTGACACCTGCAGGCCGATGTGCACAAGCAAAACTCGGAGGGCCCGCCCGTCGTGGGGCGCCTTTGACAAACAAAATCGGCGCCGTCCGAAGCGGTGCGGGTTTCGTGCTGTGACACCCGCGGGCCGATGTGTGGTGTACTGGTACTTTAAGGGATGCCAAGCATGCTGCTCACATAGATGCGTAAGAGGGAGCAAGGATTTACCTTTATAGTGTTTCGTAGCAGTGTATCGGAGAATTTATTTCATAATCGTTTTGTTAAATTTGTCTCTGTTTATGTGCAGATTTTACGCAAGCTCTTGTGTACGAACCGACAAATAAGACGGCGTTGGAAGCAGTGAAGAGGATGAAGCTCTTCGTTCTCAAGTAGAGGTGTAGTATATGACTTGTCTGTGTGTGGGAAGCATGAAGTTGACATGGTGGCCAGCCCCTTTGAGATCGGGTCCTACTCTTTTGAGACTTGGAACTCGTGCGACTTAGAACTTGAGCGGTAATTGTGATCAGGTGCAGTAATCCGAAAGCACCTGTCTTTGTGGTGTTCGGAGAGAATCGGAGGAAAGTGGACCTGATCTTGAGAATGAAAGCTAGCAGCTGCATCTGGTCCATTTTGACCACTTTGGGGGAGTTCAGATAGAAGTGGATGGATACCATCATGAGAAGCGAATGTGGCGATGGTCATGCCAAGTGGGCTGCTTCCTGCCAGCTTTACATAATGCTGCTGACTGCGATCTCGGAATAACATTATGTGCAAGGAAGGTTCTCTCATCAGCTGGCTCGTCAATATATTATTCACCGGGGAGTATATTGACGAGGGAGTCGTGCAGATGTGTACTCTCTCCTCCTCGAATGTCTGCTGTCTTTCGACGGGGCGAGCGTGCAGAGATAAGCAGGCTCCGAGTTGAGTGTGATGGTACGAGAGATGAGAAGGAGCACTGGACTTCAGAGACTTCTCCTCGTCACACAGTTGTGTACGATCTTCCGGAACGTTTGCTGGCTTTCGGACTTGGTAAGGGTGCAGGGAGAAGCAGGCGCTGAGTTGCGTGTGATGGTACGCTAGACGAGTAGGTGAACCAACCCGACATTGGGGCCGTTTGGAGTGGATACCGTCTATCATTGATCGGTGGAGAAAGTAGAGCCTATGGCATCTCCTGTAGTGTGCTTCTCATCGTGGAGGCCAGTGGATTGGGATCGGAGATCATCCATGTCAGACGTTGTTCCTGATGTTCTCGTTAAGGTACTGAGTGGACGGAGGCAGATGCTTCAGCTTGGATTGTATGTGGGTGTCTCAAAGCTTCAAAAGCTTTTCAAGCGAGGTACCGGTGAAGGATGGAAGATCATAAGCTGGCTACTTTAAGCAACGATGGAAGCGAGCCGAGGGGCGAAAGGGGGGTTGAAGAAGGGTAGAGTGACTCTAGCAGCAAGTATGCAGGTAAGGATGGAAGATTGTAAGCTGGTGTTCCAGGCGATAATGGATGCGAGCCGAGGGGCGAAAGGGGGGTTGAAGCTGTCTCTTATACACATCTAGATGTGTATAAGAGACAAGGGTAGAGTGACTCTAGCGGCAAGCATGCAGGTGAAGGATGGAAGATCGCAAGGTGGTTGTTTCAGGCGATCTCAATGGATGCAAGCCCAGGGGCGAAAGGGGGGTTGAAGAAGGGTAGAGTCTGTCTCTTATACACATCTAGATGTGTATAAGAGACAGGTTTCTAGCAGCAAGCATGCAGGTGAAGGCCGGCATTTCAGGCGGTAATGGCTGCGAGCCGAGGGGCGAAAGGGGGGTTGAAGAAGGGTATAGAGTGACTCTAGCAGCAAGCATGCAGGTGAAGGATGGAAGATTGTAAGCCGGTGTTTCAGGCGATAATGGATGCGAGCCGAGGGCGAAAAAAGGGGGGTGAAGAAGGGTATTCTAGCAAAAAGGGGGTGAAGAAGGGTACTCTAGCAGCAAGCATGGTGGTGAAGGTTGACGGATGGATGGTTTGCCCGTTAATTTTACTGAAGGAATATGGGTGGAAAGTTCGGAAACTGAAGTTTGTTCACCAGGGTGGCTGTCGTGCCATGGACAGTGAATGGTTTGAGGCAGATTCCTGCGGGCTGGTGTTTCTTGCAAAAAATAGGTGGAGACTTGAGAGGCAAGAGATTTGTTTTTTTATTAACAGGATGGGTGGTGCAGTTACGTTGCCTTGAGGAGTTGCGTAGACGTTGAGCTATCTCATCTGTTTGATATCAGCTGCTACTCTGATGCAGGCAGTCAATGGAAGGGATACGATGCTCAAGGTAGGTGTAGAGAATGCAGATCAAAGAAGATCTATGTGTTTCCGTTGGATGCCATTTGCCTTTTTGTACACATCTGTTTTATAGCAAGATGGTCTTTCCATTGTACTATCTTTACTTGCGGGTGTTATAGCAAAGTTCATATCTTGTGGGAATAAGTGAATGAGGCTACAGACAAACAGGTAAAGTGGTATTTGCATGTGTGTGTGTGTGTGTGTGTGTGTGTGTGTGTGTGTGTGTGTGTGTGTGTGTGCTCTTAGGCATGTCTGTGTCCGTGTGTGTGTGTGGAGAGGGAGGTTATACAGGGTAGGGTGTGTGTCTCTGTGTGTGTGTGTGTGGAGAGGAAGGCTACACGAGGTCGTGTAGGTGCGAAGGGCGAGTATCGTAATGTCTCCATGGCAGAGCGTCTCGAAAGAGTGGCGGCAGGGGAGTGTGGATGTGAAGGGTTAGTTTTGTAATTTGTCCATGGCAGAGCGTCTGATGCAAATAATGGCAGGTTGACTGAGTAATTGTGATGGGCAGTCACTGCTGAGCAAGTCTTGATTTGTGTGTGATTGTGAAGTTGAAATGGCAATCACAGTTTGTTCTTCTTCGTCCTGCGCGAATTTGTGTACACATCGTGCATGCGTTTTTGGCACTTTGTGCTGTATGGCAATCACAGTTTGTTCTTCTTCGTCCTGCGCGAATTTGTGTACACATCGTGCATGCGTTTTTGGCACTTTGTGCTGT